GCCGCGATGCTCATGGTCGCCGTGGCCGAGTTCGACAAGGACCCCAAGGTGACGGCGGACATGGTCAATATCGGAACACAAGTGGAGTATACAGGCAAGGAGGGCAGGTCGGCGGGGAAGACGACGACGGTGGTGACTGACGCGGAGGCCCTGTGGGCCATGCTCTACGCTGACGACGCGGCCATCGTCTCGCGCTCGCCGGAGAGTCTCGAGAAGATGATGTCGGTCATCGTGCGCGTGGCCGGCCTGTTCGGACTGATGGTATCGGAGCCAAAGACGGAGATCATGTGCATGCTGCCGAACGGGATCGAGGAACGCCCGTTCACGGTCAGCGCCGCCGGCCAGTCGTACAAGCAGACAGATCGGTTTGTGTACCTCGGACGTGCCATCTCCGCGGACGGGAAGGCCGACCGGGAGATCACGAGCCGCAGCTGCCGAGCGTGGAAGTGCTTCCGCCGGAATAGTGCTTCGATGTACGACAGGCCACGGGCCAACCGCCCGCTCAAGATCCGGCTACTCCAGGCTGAAGTGGTGGAGACTCTCCTGTATGGGTGCGCCTCGTGGAGCCTAACAGCGGAGCACTACACGAAGCTCAATGGGACCCACCGCCAGTTCCTCACACGGTGCATCGGCTGGAGCAAGCGGAAACGCTCCGACCGCCCCCTGTCCTATGCCCAGGCCCTCATCCAGGCAGGCTGCGAGGAAACCATCGAGGCCACCGTGCGCAAACGGAGACTGTGTTTCGCGGGCTTTGTCATGCGCATGAAGGACAGCCGCCTCCCCAAGCGCATGCTGTTAGGAGCGATGGCGGGGGGCGTGGGATACCGGGGCAGGCAGGAGAGCGACTGGGTGTCTCGTCTAGGAGAGGACCTCGTGGCCTTCAACATGAGAGACGAAAAGCAAGGGGGTAAATGGAGAGAGAGCGCCAAGGACCCGCAGGTGTGGTACAACAAGGTCGAGTACGGAGCGTCATGGTTCATGAGGAAATGGCACAGGCAGGAGGCGGAAGCGTCAGCGAAGCGCCAGCGCGCGAGGGAAGCAGAAGCAGGGAGTGAGTACGGCCATCTCAGGACCGAAGAGAAAGAGGGCCAGGGAAGCGGCGGTGGGGGGGAAGAAACGGCGACCGGGCACTGCTGTAGAAGCGAGTAGGGCGGTCGAGGCAGCACTTGTGGCGAACTATGTACCCGGCTGATGTTGTTGTCCTCTGTTTCCTTCCCTGCTGTATGCTATACTCCGTTATGTATGTCCTTTGTATTGCCTTCGNACGAGAGCGCCAAGGATCCGCAGGTGTGGTACAACAAGTTCGAGTACGGAGCGTCATGGTTCATGAGGAAATGGCACAGGCAGGAGGCGNCATAACGTCCCTGCCTACTCTGCTGTGTTGGGTACCTTGATCTCGCTTTGCTGTTGCCTTTGTTTTTGTACGTCTGGCTGTCTGCCCATCTGCCGCCTCTTTGTCCTGTTTGCTCCGTTACTCTCATGCCGTGGTGCGTAGTGCCTGGTGCTGGTACGTTACCCTTTGATTTTTTCTTCAGGCGGGTGTGGGAAGCGTCCTCCTTTATTTTTGTTTTTGTTTTATTTTGATCGGTTTCCGAGTGCTCTTTTCTCGAACGGTCGGTGCGGTACCTGTTATTTTCTTTCTATCATTTTGTTTTTTTCTTTTTCCGAGTGGTTCGTACCCTATTTTTGTTTTGTTTCCCCGCGGCGTCGTATGTGCCGGGTTTTGAGACCACGGGCTCCCCATTTTTTGTGGACCATAGAGCTAATGTGAGAAACAACAACAACAACAACAAATCCTCTGTGCTGTGTTTCATTTTTTTCACGACCTTCCTGCCTTGTACTCTGCTGTGTTCGGTACCTTGATCTCGCTTTTGCTGTTGCCTTTTGTTTTTGTACGTCTGGCTGTCTGCCCATCTGCCGCCTCTTTGTCCTGCTTGCTCCGTTACTCCCATCCATGCCCTGGTGCGTAGTGCCTGGTGCTGGTACGTCACGCTTTGATTTTGTCTTTAGGCGGGTGTGGGAAGCGTCCTCCTTTATTTTCTTTTTGTTTTATTTTTGATCGGTTTCCGAGGGCTTTTTCCTCGAACGGTCGGTGCGGTACCTGTTATTTCCTTTTGATCATTTTGTTTTTCTTTTTCCGAGTGGTTTGTGCTCTATTTTTGTATTGTTTCCCCGCGGCGTCGTATGTGCCGGGTTTTGAGACCACGGGCTCCCCATTTTCTGTGGACAATAGAGCTAATGCGAGAAACAAAAACAACAAACTCCAACAAAGAGAGAGGCTTGGCGGCACTGGTGGTGCCGTTTGCTTCAAATAAGCGTTCACAGCACTGGTGGTGCCGTTTACTTCAACCTGTGGTCACACAGAAGAGCCCCTCTCTACCCTCCCCTCCTGCGGTACTTTTTTTTGCCTTCAATTGTTAATGCGAGAAGAGTTCAGCACTCGCTTCCTTCTGTGTACACACGAACTAGCGCTATCCACCAGGCCAGGGGCGGAAGCGAGAGAAAAACTCACCTTGCAAGAAAAGCTCGCTTACGCCGGGATTCGAACCCCTGACTCGACCTGTATCTAGAAGGTTTCGAGGTTACGAACTAGACCACCCGGGCGACCGACCGATTGGAAACGGAGTCTATGCACGATATCTCCGCCATGGTACTCCTTGCTGCCTTACCTATTGTCAACTGCTGTGTGTCAAGGGAAGAAACAACTGAAACTTCTCGGCCTCACACCGAGGAGACGCTCTCTCATGACATGCCACACGCACAAGCACACGCACCTTGCACGCATGCAAAGATCTGTTTCCCGTCACCATATAGTTTCCTTCGGTACCGCGGTGCAGCAGCTGGATACCGAGAGGCCAACGTGCGAACATGGTTGGATTGGAGATGCACGCAATCACAGCCCCAACGGACGTTGCCACCCAAGCACCCACGTTCCACTCGTGGATGGTGGCAACCAGCACCGTGAAGGACAACAAGCACAGCAGGTAGCTGCGAAACGACGTGGCGAGACGAATACTGTTGGTTGTGTTCGGAGAACATCCAAGGCTGTGTCGTGTGGAATCAGTCACCGGGTGAGCGTACAGCTTCAACGCCATTCCATGATGAGCATGGAAGGGTAGACTACAGACAGCATCAGGGTAGCCCGCGGTGAACGTCCACCACATAGTAGACTTCTCGCGTCTGCAGGGACCCACATGTCTACGCCCTGACTTCGGGCTATCTACAATACAGAGGGTTGCGCGTGTGCTGGACTACTTCGTACAAATTCTACCCGAAAGGGACGAGAGAATACTCGAGACGAGAGACAGACATACTTATACCCGAGAGCGACGAGAGATACAAGAGAGGAGAGAGAAACAGACATTACTTCTTCTGATTGGGACTGGATACCTAGACTTTGAGTTAAAATGCTGCCGTGCCTGCAACAGCAAACTAACGTAGTCTCACCGAACGAACGACCTCGCACCACAATCAATGTACACCAGCCCTGCTTCCACCTCTCTGTCGTGTTCGTGTGGTGTGCCCGTTGCCGGGACTACTGCTGTGGGGTTTACGTATCTATACATGTACGACGGTTACGTGACAAGTACAGTCTAAGGTATCCCGCCGGAAAGAATCAGTGACCAGTTTCCACCACGGATCTTGGCGCCGCCCATCCATTCATTGCGTGCGTATACAAGAAGGTGCCGTCACAAGGCCCTCGACCGTCTTACATTGGGTCCCCCTCTTCTTTGACCAGAATAGAAGAGTGTTACAAGGTCGAATTCGTGACAACCGATTTCGGCCCTCTTATATCGGAGCCCCTCCTAACCCTTTTGTATCGGCCTAGACTGTGCTTTCTATTGAATGTTGTCACGGAAAAAAGTCTCGTTGGAATTTCGAAGACTCCTTTCCATGGTATGCATATACTACTGTGTATGTCTCGCTCGCTTAGTTGATCCACCGCCTAAAACGGTTGGTATCGGTCTCGACTCTCGATTGCTGCAATCTACTACTTACGTACAACAGCCTCCGTCGACCGTTCGGCAAGTACTCGTCAATGTTTGCCAACAAAAATTCTCTAACTTTGTTTGATCATTTCCTCTACCCGCGCCGCCCTTCTTTTCTTACTAAATTGCGCCTTTTTCTTCACCGCGTCCCGCCTTGAGAAACGTTGAGTCCAACCCAATAACATCACATGGTTGTGCGCGCGCAGAGTTCGTGTGCATGTTGCCGCTGGCTTACAACCATTGAGGCATCCACCTATTCCAATAACACCTGACCTGCTGTGCTGTTCAAAATCGTTGTGGTTCTGCTCCGTGGCAATTTTGTTTTTGCACATTTCGCGAAGTGACGCGGAATGAAGGCCATCAAGACGTTTCGCAAAATGTCCAAGTCGCAGAGGGAAGCGCAGTTCTTTAAGAGCAGCATGGAAGAAACACACGAAGAGGGACTAGTGGTCACCGGCGAACCAAACGATGGTGGCCAGGTACTGGAGGGAGAGGTTAAGCTAGAAGAAGAGCCTGAGGAACAACAAACAAATCGGCGATCACCTCGTCGAAGTATAGAGGAGCTGGAGGTGTCTGACGGAATCAAGGGGGAATATGATGTACCACAGAGCGAACCTTGGCGGGCACCGTCACCTGCACGAAAGGAGGAGGTGCCCGCTGCACGAAAGGAGGAGGGAGAGCCCGACGGACAGCAAACGAATCGGCAATCACCTCGTCAAGCTCCAGGGGAGCTAGACGGAGCAGGAGACGATCCAGAAGGAGATGACGTGGCTGCCATCGAAAAGGAACATGATGTACCACCGATCGATACGTCGCGGGCACCGCCGCCGGAAAGAAAGGAGAAAACTACCAAGGCTCACGCACGTGTGTCACGAGGTAGGTGTGGCCTTCTGTGGTTGGTAAAGTTGGCGTGGATCATTTGGTTATTGTGTTGTTTGACCAGCACCAACGCTGCTCTTGGTACTTGTACCACTTCAACGCTTTTTTCGGCTATTTTGCTGTGTCCGGATATGAGGGACCCCACCCTGACAGCCAGTAAGACGCGAGAACATGTGTTATCGCTCTAAGATGAAACTTCATTTCTTGCAGTAGAGTAGTCGTCCAGCGAGTACTAGCTCGTTTACGTGTTTATGTGTTTCGCGCTTCGATTCAACACATCGAGGACCTCACCCATGTATACCTATACCTAAGCAGCTTTGTTTACCCACCCTGCACCCACCGACCTCTCAAATCGCCAAGTAACTCGGTCGCCCCGGTGTTGTTTTTGTTGTTGTTGTTGTTGTTGTTGTTTCTCACATTAACTCCGTAGTCCACAAAAAAATGGGGAGCCCGTGGTCTCAAAACCCGGCACATACGACGCCACGGGGAATCAAAACAAAAAAAAGGTACAAACCACTCGGAAAAAGAAAAAACAAAATGATCAAAAGGAAATAACAGGTACCGCACCGACCGTTCGAGAAAAGAGCCCTCGGAAACCGATCAAAAACAAAAACAAAAACAAAAATAAAGGAGGACGCTTCCCACACCCGCCTGAAGAAAAATCAAAGGGTAACGTACCAGCACCAGGCACTACGCACCACGGCATGGGAGTAACGGAGCAAACAGGACAAAGAGGCGGCAGATGGGCAGATAGCCAGACGTACGAAAATAAAGGCAACAGCAAAGCGAGATCAAGGTACCCAACACAGCAGAGTAGGCAGGGAGGACATGAAAAAAACGAAACACAGCACAGAGGCCGAAGGCAATACAAAGGACATACATAAAGGAGAATAGCATACAGCAGGGAGGGAAACAGGGCGCAACAACATCAGCCGGGTACATAGTTCGGGTAGCCTCGCAGCCTGCTAAGGGCCAGGGCATGGGTTCGAGTCCCGACAGAGTAAGTTTTTTCTCGCTTATTAAATCCTGGTCTCCGGTGGAAGCGACGCGCTGCAAAGCTCGTTGTTTGTGCACTTGATCGACTTCATAAGTCGCGAGGGAAGGATTTGCTGTACCCTTCTCGCGAAAATATCTCAGGCAGGAACCGCAGGAGGGGGTCCAACCCCCCCCTCCAATGTGACCCCGGTTAGGTCGTCTAGCTGGTAGAAGTGGAGGATAGGGCCCAGAGGGGCAGACGACAGAGTCCAATGATGGGAGAAAAAAAAAATAGTTCGCCACAAGTGCTGCCTCGACCGCCCTACTCGCTTCTACAGCAGTGCCCGGTCGCCGTTTCTTCCCCCCCGCCGCCGCTTCCCCGACTCTCTTTCTCTTCGGTCCTGAGATGGCCGTACTCTCTGCTTCTTCTTCCCTCCCTGGCGCTTCGCGGACGCTTCCGCCTCCTGCCTGTGCCATTTCCTCATGAGCCATGACGCTCCGTCCTCGACCTTGTTGTACCACACCTCCGGGTCCTTGGCGCTCTCTCTCCATTTACCCCCCTTCCTTTTCGTCTCCCATGTTGAAGGCCACGAGGTCCTCTCCTAGACGAGACACCCAGTCGCTCTCCTGCCTGCCCCGGTATCCCACGCCCCCCGCCATCGCTCCTAACAGCATGCGCTTGGGGAG